AAAAAAATAGATTTTTTGCCTTTTAGCACATGGATAATGATGCTACCATCCATATATTTTTTTTCCTTGCAGAAAATTGAAGGTTTTGCATGTGCTGTAAACTTGTGGCACATTAGAAATTACACTTCTCGTGTCTTTCTTTAAAACAATAGAATTCGTCATTAGACTCTGCCATTTCTACTGATATATTGGTGCAGTAGATTTTCTTAAGCAAAAGTAGAGTTTATAAAAGCAGCACATCTGTCAGATTATTACAGGTTAAAAAGTAAAGAGAAAATCTTGTATCCTTTTCATACCACTACTTGGTGTGGTGCTATGGAGGGTCATTTTACTGAGAAGGTTTTGCTTTCTTAAGTGGCAAATAAATTGCTTATCATAGCTGTATTAGGCTTAAGTTATTAACTTCTTTAATTCTTCAAATATTTGGTTATTTGTATGAGGAAGTGTTTTGTTTAAGGTTGCTTACATACGCATGTGCTTGCACTTACAGAGAAATCTTTGTCCCCACAAAGTCCTTCATGTGCATTTTTTAATGCGCTTGCTACTTGTATTGTATCAAATAAAATATAACTCCCCCCTGTGTAAGACTTTGCTGCACTCTGCTGAACACAATGCTTACCTGACAAAATACGCATCTAATGGCAACTCCCAGAGAGCTGTTCTTGAATCTGTGATCTCTTTTGACAAGAACGCAGAAGAACCGTAATGGCTGATGCAGGTTGCATCTAGTGTGGGTGCCATGAGGGCACTGTTAATTCCTGTGACAGAGCACAGGTATAAACCAGGAGCCTCTTTGTGTTCACAGGCCCAATGACTGATCATATAGCTTTTCTTAGTTCCTCTCCAGTAAACCCTTAAATGCCCTGACGCGCTGATGCTCCCGATTTACCACTTCACTGAACCCTAACCATGACATTTCCTCTGCTGCCAGGGGTTGTTCCCTCCTGCTTTGCGGCCTGTCAACCCAACATCCCCCACACCCCCACCTATCCTCCCTCCTCCAGCCCCTGCTTTTTCTCTCTGCCCCATCTCCCTCTTATTTATTCAGAATCCTAGTCCTCTCAGTTCACTGTGTCTCATAGCATCTCTAAATATAACTAAGCATCTCTATCTCTTCTCCTTCCTCTTCCTGCCTCCTCCTCAGCTCAGTCCTGTCTGACAAATTTAAGCATGCCTGGGCAATCTGATCTGACGTGTCTTTACATAACAATTCAATCCACTGAACCCCCTACTGCCCTGACATAGGGAGAGACAAAGGTGTGTTCTTTTGTCATGAATGTAATTCCCTCCACCCTGTGAGACTCCGGCTCAGAATATTATTACTAGATACGCACATTCTGGATGTTCTTGGTCCTTGAATCCATTGGATCTGAGCTCCTCAGAGTAACTGCGGCTTAGAAAAGAAAGGTTGGATACCATGCTGGCATTATCGTCACACATACACCAACCACACATGAGGGAATATATGCCTATACTTCTCACAGACGTAAGCAGGAAGCAAGAAGGCTAGAGTAAATCTTAAATAATAACCATTGAGAGTTATGACCCCTGTTGGTGGAATGCTTTTGCACACGTTCATCCTCTTGCCTGGTGATTTATTTCTTGTCTGCCAATAAAAGCTTAACATGAAAATGTCACATGTGGGGAAATGGCTGGTCTCAGCCCCTGGAGTGAGCCCGTGCAGCATTAAGGGGGTTTGGATTCATTAAACTGTCGGCATAAATTTTGACCCAAGGCTAGTTTGCAGGCTGCGAAGGAATAACTGGGGGTGGGACCAAAAAAAGGGTGCAGGGTTGTAAATGTGGACGTGGAGTAGGAGATACAAATTACAGGTTTAAATTAGAAAAATCAGCAAAATAGACGGTTTGTAGCATTGTGTGAAAAAATCTGATTGCAGATTTCAGATGAAACAGAAACAAGTGGAATACTAGAGGAGGAGTATAAATACATCAGGCTTCACCTGGACAACAACCTCTACTGGAGATGCAATTGTGAAGCTGTCTAAAAAAAGGGACAGAGCAGATTGTACTTTCTAAGGAAGCTTATTAGGCCCTTCAATATATGCAGCAAGATGGTGCATATTGTAACTTCAATTCAGTTTAATTCATTTCAGTTTATTTATATAGCGCAAATTCAAAACACGTCTTCTCAAGGCACTTTACAGAGACAATTCAACCAGATGATACAGTCAAATTGATTCAAAGTTTTCTATTTAAGAAAAACCAGTTGATTGCATCGACTCATTGACTTGAAGGCAATTCCTCACACTAAGCATGCTTCTAGTGACAGTGGAGAGGAAAAACGACCTTTTAACAGGAAGAAACCTCCAGCAGAACCAAGCTCACTGTGAGCGGCCATCTGCCAATGCCGAATGGGGTTCAAGGAAACGGATGCAGACATACAGAAAGAAGCAGAGATACAAAAGGCAAATGTCAACCAGCTCCACAGACTGCCCCATCCCGGAAAGCTCAGAGCCAGGTCCCATGTCAGAGGATGAAAGATAACTCATACAGTTAGTCACAATCAGAGAAACAGGACTCCACTGAAAAATAGGCCAAGATCCAACATCTATAAACAGAGGTGATGATGGCATCAGCACAGCTGATATTTCTCTCCAGGATGGAGTCCCAGCCAGACAGGAACAGTCCAGACCAGAACCTCCGGAGTCTATATCACAAAGAGAAATTCGTCATAAACTGAACTGAAAAACATAATGGACAACAGGGAGCAACCTCTTAATCAGATTGTTAATCAGCATTAGAGTGTCTTTAGTTTCTGGGTTTTCATTCAACTGAAATTAGAATTTTAAGCAAACTTCAAATTACAATATTACATTGTCATGCATTGCTGTAGTAAAAAGGAAGTAAAGGCCACAATCTAGCACAGACCACAGATCAATACTGGAGGAAAGTTTAAATTAATGCGATATGGAAAGTTTTTATTAAGTAACATGTCAGTTAGCTATGGCGATGTTGCTGCAAGCCATGTTTAATCTGATAAAAATGCATAAAGAAAGCGGCTTCTCCAGATCCAGTGCAAGACAGACCTCTACAGAAGATCCTTTCTGCCTACCGCCATCAACACCTATAACAACTGGTTTAAAAGAAACCTATCAGTTACTGCAACATTTAATTTCCCTCTGGGATTAATAAAGGGTTTTAGAAATTATTTAAACTGAATGGAAAATTACAAGCAAGACAGAACAAGGGATCACTCAAGGAGACACTCCATACTATGAGAGAGGACAATTATCCTTTGGAGCGTGGATGAAACTGGAAAGTTTGTCAGTGTACAGTAAACAGTAAAAGTAGAGAGTTTCCTACACCATATGGGATACAACCCCAACCATCAGATTTTTAAAGTACATTAGTGATAAAAAACAGTTGATGTGGGATAGATTTTATCTGGGGAGAGTTGTAATTGAAAACCACTATCAAGTAAAATTAATTGATGATTTTAAAATTTCAAATGCTATATTGTAATTGTATTCATATAACTTGAGCTTTTCACAAGGTACCTTACAACCCCATATCATATGGGGGTGGGATGTGGGGGGTAATAGACTAAGTGAAAATAATTTCATGTATGAAATTATTGTTTTAATAAAACCCTGGAATATGTGACGAGTTCTTTCTATTTAAGATCTTTTGCTTTATTATCCTTTAAAGAAAATCGGGTCTAAAAAATGACCACAACAATACACCTGACCTAAGAAGATAGTGTCCAGATTTGTAAATTTGCAACACCTTTACATTTCTGTTCACAGACTGCTCTAGATGTCATTGGTTGGCCTAGAGTTATTTGCAGAGAAGCATGCAATTTCTTTTAGTGTGATGTGGTCTTGGTTAATCTTTTCACACACAAGTTATGGTAAAGAAAAATAAATGTGAAATTTGTGGCATGTTTCATATTCCATGATAGTTGTTATTTTCCTTAAGGCCCTATCTGTGTGACTGTAATAATAATTAATCCTAATAACCATGTTTTTAAAGAGGTTGATGGAAGGGTGCGGCTGTAACAATAATCCTCCTCCACAGAGCCATAAAAAGAGATACAGAAAGGCAGAGAAATAAAACGGCAGACATAAATAAATGTGGCAGGGCCTCGGGTATCACACTCCCTAAATAACCTGGGAGCTGTGAAGGAGTCACTAATTACCCCTCCCACAGCAGATAAGAGTACGGACAGTCACACTCGCACCCAGAATTAGCGCTCAGGCCTGTCAGTGTCAGGGGCTATCACTAAGAGTTAACAAGGAACAAATCCATAGATCCTGTAAGGCAGATGACAGCATCACGCTGACTGCTTGCTCTACAGACAAGCAGTGAAAGGGATATATTTATATATCTATATCTATATATTTATAGATATAGATATATAAATACATATACAAAAAAAATCAAACAGGCTGCAGAATCAGAGTGTCGAGAACACACTACTAGCCATAGCATGGCAGACAGACTGTCACAAACTGACCAGATGAATCAGAGCGGATGTCACTGTGGCAGATCATCAAGAACTTATAACAGGGCCAAACACTGTTAAAACACAGAGGAAAAAGAAAATCTGTAAAGCACATGCATATGGGAAGTATGATAACAGTCACTCTGTGTTTCATGAGCTAAAAAAACACTCTGTTTTCACTGGTACAGCAACTCTACTCTTAACAATTGGTAACGATACAGAGAAAATCAAATAGACATAAAACATAAGTATCCCCTTCAGCCAATATGAATAAGCCTTAATTACAATCCCTCTTCTTGTTTTGAGTGTTTATTTCTCTGCTGCTTTTCTTCTTCCACTCAACCTCCAACCATTCTGCCATTTCTCCTAACTAGCAGATTCTACTTCTTCCTAATGTGCTTACTGTTTCCTTATTCACTTCAAAGTAGCTGTTGACATTATTTCATCCTGTTTTTTCCACTTTGTTTTTAACAGTGAGGTATTTTTAAATAACTTCAGTCTCTTTCTTCTTTTTTTTTGTGTGTACTTCTCTGTAGGCGGTAACACCATCTTCAGAATGACACACTGACAGGAGACCGGACAGAAGACATAAAGAAAGAAAAATAACACTACAGACTGAGTGAATACATTTTAAAAGGCAGCATGCTTTGGGAAAACCATGACAAGTTCATGCGGTACATTGGCCAATGGATTTCCTGAGGGATCAGGGGACAAAGCATGGGGACAAAAGGGGACTACCAAGTAGACAAACCTATGGATAAACAGGCCAAATTCCCTGCCTCTTTTCTGTCCAGCAACATTAAACGCCCTTCTGGCCTCATTATTATATTTTCATGAGACATTGAGTAGAAATGAGAGTAAAGGCAAAGGTGCACAATTTCAAAGGACGCATAAAATGATGGACATCTTCACTTTAACATATCTAATGCTGCTTTTTTTCTAATTTATGTTAATGTGTCCCATTTTTGTACAAGTAAATGTTACAAGTAAATTCCCATTTGATGTAGAATTTAACATAAGTCACAGTGATCTGAAACACCGTTTTTACTGTCCAGGATGTTGCTTTACCTTGATCTGAGGACATAGTCTTCCTTTTATTTGCCGTCAAGGAATCTAAACAATAAGCTGAGCAATTGAACTGCAAATGGACTAAAGTTTGCAGAGCTAGACTTAACTTTTGACTGTGTTATGAGAAAATAGGACTCATCAATAAAGTATGTAGACCTTACATGTATTTAATGCTATAAGCAGAAAGTAATAAAAAAAAAAAAACTTTCTTTGTTGACACAGAAACGAAAAGGCCTTTAACACGGAAAGCTGTATTTGAATGTTGGGGAAGAAAGAGAGGCCAAGGAGATGGTGAGCAAGGAGCCTGATCACTTGCTCACTGGCCAAAGTAACAGCAAGAGCACCTTGACGGACAAGCTGCCCGGAACAATGACTGTGCGCTCTGTGCTGCTCAATCGAGACTCACCAGATATTGAAAGTCGCCTAAAACGGCGCCGGAACCGAACCCATCAGGTCCGCTTCAAAGACCTTGAGGATGGCAGTAGCAGTAGTGGCAACAGTGCAACAGGAGAAAACAACACCCGTCAGCGGCCTGCCAAAGACCGTGACAGCCCTCATCCACTTCGCAAATACAACAGCATGTCCCAACATCTATGGTCTGACAGACCAATCACTGAAAGCCTACTTGGTCAAACCTCTGTGGTAGGGGCTGTGCGTGGGGATATGGCCAGTACTATAGAAAAGGTGGCTGCTTTTTTAGCAAGGGCCCCACCTCATCCGCTGACGCCTGGTCCTACACGGAGATGTTGGGCACCACCACAATCTAATTCTCTAACATTACCAATGACACGAAGATCCAGTACAAGCACCAGCACAGCCATTCAGACTTCACCATGCCTAAAAAAACCTCAGTCTCTCTCATCCACCCATGTGCGTAGCCACAGCATTGGGGACTCAGTTGGTGTGGATGGAGATGATGAGCATGACTCTCAAGATGAGTACCTTAGCCACAACCATGTGCTGCCTGGGTCCAAAGATCAAAGCCGACCTTCAAGCTCTGTGGATAAAACTGGGGTAGAACGAAGATCTAAAGTATCAAGGACAGAAATTAAGTCAGGTGTTATAGCAAAAACATCAAGACATAGCTGTCCACCTTCAGTTCTACACAACAGCGATCTGTGTCATAGTTCTTCTGTATCTTGCCGAGATGGTCCAAAGCGCCAGGGTAGTAGCACTCCTTCAGTGATAAGGAGGAGAAAACGCCTAAGCCGGACAACAAGTGATCCCGGAAAGGAAGTTCACCTCTGCACGACTCCTACACAGACTGAAAGCCCACCCCAATCACCATCTCCTTTAAATACCAAACTCTGTACCACTGAAGTTCAAACTGAGGGTTTGTCTTCACCTCCAATTTCAAAGCGTTGTACCACTAAATGTGAAACTGAACATAAACATCAGTCTCCAACCTTGAGTGTTGAACACTGCTCAGCACAAATTCAAACAAGAGATTCTTGTCCAACCCTACCTCAGAATGGTGAGCAATGCACCCCTAAAAAACAAACAAACTCACCATCTCCCTCTTCTCAAAATCAAAACCATTGTACTACACAATTGCTAACTTGTAGCTCAGTTGACTCTTCACCTCGAATTTTGACATCCAGCTTGAATTCTGATACCCCAATATCTGCTCCAGCAGACCAAATCCCTCCCACAACCAACATTTCTACTGTGCCTTACACTGCTTCCCCTGCAATGCCTATAAATGCACCAGTACAAACTCCTGAACAATGCTCTAAGGCATGTTCTTCATCTCCTACCAAGCTAGCAATTTTCTCTCCTCCACCACCTGACATCCTATCTATTACTTCCTCCACTTGTGCAACTAACACTTCACAAAGCTCTATTCCCTATTACACTGTTTTGTCTCCACCAACCCCACCTGGCAAAGCTTCTATTTGCTCTAGTCCTTCTTTTACTGTCCCACAGTCCTCCTCACATAACTGCATCTCCCCACTACCACATCTGATATCTTCCTCTTCCTGTCCTACCCCTACACCAACTGTAAGCACCGTTTTAACACCTTGTGTACCTATCATAGAGCCTAATGCTGCCCCAAACGTAAGGCATCAGCAGCCATCAACAAGTCTAACAAATAATGTACCTACCACAAACCTGACACCCTGTACAATTGTGACTCAGACTGCCCTATCTTGCACCTCCATATCATATTATACCAGTACACATCCCAGTGGCCCACATGTACCTCACATTAATCAAACATCCCCTTCTTACACCACAGTTATACAAACAGTATCTCACTGTAATATACCATATCAAACAGTGCAAAATATCCCCCCTACCAGCACAGGGATGACCCTTTATCCCTCCCCTGTCCCTAGACTTGAATCTTGCACTTCTCCACCTCCAAACGTGAAAGCCTATGTTTCCACTCTTCAAAATGCTCAAGCTGTTGGGACTCCAACTAAAGCTGTTCCTTTGTACTCTTCTACATTCCGCGCTGCACCACCATACACCCCCCCCTCTCAAGCTCCCTATAATGCTCAGGATAAAAGGGGCATTCGACTTCCACCTCCTCCTCCACCACCTCCTCCCTACACACCAAGGAAAAAGGGAAGTGAGCCAGCAGGCACCACAGCTCGAACACCCATGCTCAGGACAGAGAGCAAGGTCAGTGAAAAAGTTGTAGAGAGTGAGGAGAAAAAGCCGGATACAAAGGATGTACAGTGTACAGTCTTACCCAAGCTCTGTGGGGGAGCTAGTTCTCTGAAGCACAGAGCTCAAACACCGCCAGTTGCTGTGATGAAGGGAGAGAGGCGTTCCTCCACCTCCTCCCCTGCCAAGGCCTGTTTTAAACCCAGCTGTCTTAGCTCAGCCCAAGCTCAGCTTGGGGTGCTACACAAAATGCTCTGCTCAGGAGCCAGCATCAGGCCCAACACACCAAACAGCCAATGCTCTTTGCCTCCTAACCAGCAGGGCTGCTCTAGTGCCAGGGGCTGCTCTGCCTCTGGGGAGCAATCTGGCACTGGGCCGCTGAGTCCCACACAAGCTGACACTTTAAGACAGGTTCAAGAAATTCTCGGAGGTTTGATGTCTGGAGCCAGGTGTAAACTCGACCCATCAAGGGTGACAGAAAAGCTCCTGAGCCCCAATGGACCCTTGCATGACATTCGCAGTCTCCAGAACCAGCTTCACAGTCTTGAGGGTGTCCTGGAGACAAGCCAAAACACCATCAAGGTCCTACTGGATGTTATTCAAGACCTTGAGAAAAAGGAGGCCGAGAGAGATGGGTGAGTAGTACACTGAACTGTTGAGAAATTACTATAAGGGGCAACACGCATCAGTGGTGTAAGAAGTGCATCTAAACATAAGCATGTAATTATTTCTATTAAACAAGTCAACCATGGCTTTAGGGTTGGGAGCGTATGTTTCACAGTCCTGCACCAAGCAACCATTTCAGAATTTGCTTTAGTTTTGTTTTAGACACTGATTGAAACTTATTTGGAAAGCACTCTGGTTCTCCTGAATTGTGTTCCCCTTTAAACTACTTTAAACATAGAAATGGCTATTACTTTTGTCATTAATATTCCTGATAGGGATTGGAAACTTCTGGGTCTAAAAACTTAATCTTTACATTGGAACAGAAGTTGTAGGGGACTCACTCAAGAGACGGTTTGGCCTTATGCAGTTTTATCAACTCTTGAGCAATGCATTGGTAGTGTTAAAAATAATTTGAAATTAATTGTGACCCAGGATTAAAATAAGTTGTCAAAAAGGAACTTGTTTTACTTTTAAAGCAACATAAAAGTCATAGGTCAGAAGGAGAGCAATCAAGTATTTGAAGCTGTAAATACATTTTGACTAAAACCCCTCAGGCCAACAGTGTAAACCTTGCCCCGCTGGACCTCGTAGCCCAGGGCCAAGCGTTGTGTAAAACAACCATCTGCTGCTCTGTATGTAGAATCTGCTTTGCCCAACAGAAAGATAGATGGTACAAAATAAGTTGTAGGGCAGTAGAAATTAATAAGCAGGTAAGTGTGTTCATTGTTTTATTCAACACAGTTAATTTCTCAAGAGTTCATCATTCACAAAACATTCTAAAAACATAAGTAATGCAGCCATACACTTAAACATAATTTTTTACATTTGTGTAGAAAGTGGTTTGTTTATGGTAAATTATTCCTCAACATAAAACAGGTGAGGTGATTATTTAATATCATTTAAGGTTTTTCTTTTTATGTCGTTACCCTAATTATAGTCAACTTCAATATTGTAGTCATTGTTAATATAAGACTATGTGGAGGGAGACCCAAAACAATTTGTATTTAATCAGAAGACTGTGAATATACAATAAACTGGCCAAAATATCTGGGTCTGTTAAGAAACGGGACTAAGAAATACAAGACAGAATACTGATATGTAGGTATACCTATTTTAATGACATTTTACATGAATTTAAATGATACTGTATATATATGTCAAAGAGTTGATGTCATGTGAGACTAGAGAAAGTCTTTAGGTGACCCTGTTGCACCCATAGTAAGCAGCTCTAGCCTCATGTATGTGTGCAGCATGCAGAGTTTGATGGAAATCAACATTTTACTCCTGTCATGTTGGTGGTTTCAGATTCTCCAAGCTTCTTAGTGTAAACCCTTTACTGTTCCTATCAAGTCTTTAATTAATCTGCGTCCTACGTTGTAAGCGGTTTAGTAATTTCTCCTGCCTTATCACACCAAAATGGTACATTTATAATGTGGAAACATTCTTGGAAAGGAAAAGATATGAGCCTGGATGTGTGTCTATGACTGCAAAGAATGCTTTAAGTAAAACAGCTGAAAATTGATGTTTACATTCAGAACATAAAAAATAACCCAATTTTCTCACAATCTTAAAATAAATTAGCACAAACTTCAAATTTTTTTAACTCAGTAAAGACATACTTAATTACTTCTGTTTGCAGAAAAGCCTCAATTTTTAGTGTTTTCTTTAAATTCAGAAGTTTATAAACCCCTAAAAGAAAAATGCTTTTAAAATTTAGGGAAAGCTCAGATGATGAAACAATGGCTTTTTAAGCTTCTAATACTTCTTGATTTAGCTGAAGAAAAAAAAAACAACAATTCATTTTAAGCCAAAACATCAAACACCACTGTTTAATATTCTAAGAAAATTATACGAAAACAAGCAAGATCGTATGGGAATTGTTCACACCCACATGACTAGTCCACTCTTGGGTACAGTTTTCAGTTCCTATAATTTAACACAATTTTAATTCCATTTTGTATTTCAAGACAGCATAGTTTTCAGAACTGAGATGATTTCTGCGAACTGAGAGACTAAGAAGCTATTAACTCAAAAGGAAGATATTTTTCTTTTTGCTTTAAGCAATACAGAAAGAATAGATTACAGTTAAAAATTCCACACAGGGGCAAAGGCCTTAATCTTTGGAGACATGTCCTCTGGTCTGATGAAACTAAATATGAAGTGTTCTGTCATAATGACCAGCCATTGTTTCAAAAGGGAAGCTTGTTTGCCTCAAAACATCATCTCAGTTGTGACCTTCGGGGATGACAACATCCTGTTGTAAATTAAAGGGGGTTAAAAAGAAAGAATATTGTGTAGACATACACAGAAGCTACGAATTAAGACATAAGTTAGGATGTTAAAGATTAGGGCAAAGATTTTCTTCTAAATGGACAATAACACAAGCATAGCACAAACAAAGCATATCACCAAATTATTTGCAACATTTCTTAAGGGAAGGAAAGTAATTGTTATAAAGAGACCATCAAAAAGCCCTGATTTAAATTTAATGGACATTTTCAAAGAAAAGCTAAAAAAGTTTATGCAAGCAAACTGGATTACAAACCTGTCTGAGTGACACTGGCTCTGTAGGGAGAAATTGGTTAAAATTCCTGTTAACTATTGTTAGTATGTTGTGGAATGATACCCAAAAGGTTCAACCCATCTTATAAGTTAAGCAAAGGTATTTATGGCAAAAACTTTTGAACTTTATGTACATTGTAGAATTTTGAAACAGTAAATAAAGATAAAATATAAATGATTAAGTAAATAGAAATATTATTATTTATCATAACTGACCCAAAACACTGATGTTGGTGTAATGTAACACAGATCTATATAAAGGGTTTATACAGTGTTTGTAAATACAAAATGCTGTTATGTTGAATATCACAATATTCCAAGATAGAATGATAACATTAATACAAGGGCTACACTTTCCAGGCATGTTACTGTTTGACTGACAGCGCTCCTTTCTCATTACGCCTGTTCCAGTATAATAACTCCACCACTGCATGTATGCATGCAAACTCGACTTTAACCTTATAAGCATTATGTTATGACCGGTGTGACACAGTGATTCATGGTTTACATAACAGAGTGAGCTTTTCTGGGGAGTGAGGATGGGTAGTTCATTAAAAAATTGTCAGGGGTGATTTCAGGAAGAAGATTGGTGGACTCTTTATGATGTTTGTGCGAGAAATTCTGAACACTTAGTTATCTTGATGCCTCAGAGGGGTACACAATCGGGTGTGCAGCAACACATTGTCCTTATATCCCTGATATGTCATCTCTGTGCTTTTCAACAGAAGACATTCCTACAGGACGGGGCAGGACATTGAAAACTGTGGGACCTGCAGGGACTGTGCCTGCATCATCTACAGGTGTGTTGATCAGAACATGTTTGAATTACTTCATATTTATCATAGCCTTTTCCTCCCCCTTTTCAGTACTGAGAGCTCAGACTTTCTCTCAGTGCACATTTATGTGTGCATCATGCTGTCATGTTGAATCTCATCAGATCTGGAGGCTCAGTTTTATAGCTTGGTGGGATTGTCGTTCTGCAACCTGGTGACAGCACAGATGGGTGCAGCCCTTAAAAGAATGGCCCTTGTCGCCAAAACATTGTCCCATCTGGGATACATTACAACATATAACTGACATCCTCATGCCCTCAGACTTAATGAACTGATCAACAACAAATACAGTATATGTATTTCCCCCTATTTCATTTTCTTTCTTACACACTAAATTGCATACACTCACACATGCTGGCACAGTTGTATAAATCACTCCTTTCTGAGAATAAATAGAAATCAATCCTTAGCACAAGGCTGAATGAAGCAAAATGAAAAACTGCATAGCTTTGAAATAGAAAATTCTTAGCTCTAAGTAGTTTGAAGACAAAAAGAGGATGAAATGAATTAAATACAGATTTAAATAGAACAATGATGCAAGCAAGCATCCCTGTCCTGAACCCCAAAAGAGAATCTATGAAGTATTGTCAAGAGACAGATGAGAGATACCAGACCAGGCAATACAGGCAAACTAATAGTCACTTGAAAAAACCCATGAAATTTCCTATTACTGTACTTCACCAGAGCCACAGACTGATCCCCTTCATACGATGGTGCATTGGTGTAGCAATTCATTCAAAAAGAGACCAAGCCTAGCGATGTTTAATGACACATTTTTAATAATCTGTATTAAAAACCCTTCTGTTATTGGTCCTAATAATAATAAACCAATATTCTAGGAAATGGATTCTTAATTTTCATAAGCTATACCCCATAAACAATATTTTGAAAAGAAATAAATGCTTTAGAAATAGAATAATTACGAAAAAAGCCATTAACAAAACATAGAAAGAACAAAATAGTAAATAAAAACTATTAAAAAGTATTTTTCAGCAAAGGAAAACCTACATGTAAGAAAAGAAACATTGCACAGTTGTTAAAAAGGGTATAATTAGGTCAAATGTGTACTGAATTTATGCTATTTAATGGTTTCCCTATTTAATGTATTTACAGAAGGTAATAACTTTTCAAATATTTTCAATTTATTGAGATGCACTTGTAAAGCACTCCTCTGATTAATACAACTGTGGTGTAAACAACTTAGACGTGTTAGTTATCTCATAAATCTGTAACGGATAAGTTAATTAACAAGCCAATATTCATCATCAGTCTTTGTAATGGTGCACCAACGGCAAGAAAAATTGCATGTACACACCTTCGACTGTAGATACTTGCTCATATATTATTCATTATTTTGCTCTGCTAATAAGGCTTTTACCAGAGCTACAGCTTATCTTCAACCTCAGCTTCATTACAAACAGTATTGTAGACGAAGTTTGGTTACAGTACACAGCATAAATGATTCAGTGAGACTACTCTATTAATCTGTTTATGCTCTGTTATCTATTTATGCTGTGTTTGCAAATCTACTAACATAAGCATAAGAAAAGGAAAAGAGAGTGGCAGGCAAAAAAGAAAAAAACAATTGAGAAAAACATAGCAGAAAGGCAGGGGAAAAGAGAAAAATTATAAAAGACTAAATGGATCTGAGAGAAAAGATCTGAAGCTTTGAAATGCAAAGGAAAAAGAGAGAGCAGAGAGAGAGGAGCCCTTAGGGGAAATTATTTATTGAGAAATTAAACAGAGCTTCAAGTTGATGTGTCAAAATATTCCTCTTTAGGAAGGTCAGCATTGAAGCTATTCCTCTCTGTTTTACTCAATCCTCATGTACTTTTTTCTCCCCCGTGAGATCCTTTTTATAACATTTTATTTATTCTTCAGGTTCAAGAACGACTTTTTAAGTCACAGCAGAATTATCGCTCAATCACGTGTCAGCATATTTCATTCATGTGCCAGAGAAGGATTTTCTTGTTTTGAGAAGGAGAGGAAATACTCTTTTTCCCCTGAGCTGTTAGTTCAGCACAGTTTGAAAAATAAGACAGCATCAGACAGCTGGAGAAAAAAAGTGGAGATAATGTGAAGCCCGGTAAGGATGAGTGATGTTAAGGCCTGAGAATCTGACAAGGCAGATTCTATCAATTAAAAAGCTATTTGAAATCCAACTTCTGGAAGAACCAGCACTGCTAAAGACATTATTTGTTTGAACTCTGCAGTCCCTGTAGAAGTAGTATTTTAGCCTTTTCATGTTTCGCAAAACTAAACAGCATTTTTTGTGACTTTATTTGAAACACCATCACATGCAAGTACATAATTGTTAAAGTGAAGGAAAATGCTATAAATCTTTTGATCTTAGAAATAATTTAGAAATTGGGAAATTAACCCAGATTTCTTTGAAAAATGGCCCTGGTTCAATCAGACTGACTGAGGAGTGTTTATGAACATTAATTTTCAACTCTTGCCAAAGAATCTGAATTCAATTTAGGTCTAGTCTTTGGGGAACTGTAACATATGAATATGCATTGATCTAAAGAGATCTTTGACTCCGTGTTTTTTTCAGGATTAGTGTGTATTTAAATTAGTCCTTCTTTCTGCTGAAGAAAGGCATCCCAACACCATTTTGCTGCCATCACCATGTTTCATTGAGGGGATCTGAGTTCAGGGTGAATGAAATATTTCTAAAAGGTTTTACCCACGATCATGTAAGCTGAGAAGTTAAATTATGCGCTTATCTCAAGGCCCTGTCATGCCTTGGCGATTTAGCCAGCGTATGACAGACGTGACGTCCCAGAATCTTCTAGAATGCTGGCATACGCTGAACTTTCTATGTAGTTTTTCAATTTTGGGCGTATACATAGCATATTCATAATGAGTCCAGAACTTATGTCCAACGACAGCCTAACTTATGCATAACGTAATGCAGCGTAATAACCAGCAATGCATCTGAAGGCGCCCGGCCTGCATAAAAATATGTCTTTGATTGCGGTATTAACCT